GGGCTTGTTTTTGTTGTTTTAACAGTGGTCAAAGAGTTATAAAATCATTATTGTTAGTAACCCAAAGCCATTGTAAAATTATTAATCTTAAAATATTAATGGCATAATCCTAGACTAATTTATACTGGAGATTATAACCATCTGAATTGATCCCAACCATAAATATATTTGCACAAAATTATGCAGGCACTAGCCTATTTGCTACAAATGGTCAAATCTATCTATAGACAAAGGATGGCTTGGGGCCAGCCTGAAGTCATGGTTTTTATTGGTTATGGTAGTCTTACTTTTATAAAGACATACAATGTACATTTTTGCAATAAAGTCACAGTTGTTTAGTTTTATAATTGAATAGAGTCAGGGTTCATCACTAATTCTTTGCTAAGTAGTTCCTTTTTTTTTGTTTGAAGAATACGTGGATGCTGTATTCCCTTTGTTCTTTTTTCTTTCAGAATATCTGCTTATCAGATTTATTCCTGAATAAACTTGGCTAGGTATAACATCCTTGAGTCATGTTTTCTAATTTATATAGTCAGTAATGGCGCTTTTTTTGCTTCTTGGTTTATTAGCTCTGTAATCTCTCCTTTTATCTCATTCTACTGTGTAGCATTTATCTTTGAGCTTTTGTTTTATTATATTCATGCACTTATTACTACCTATAGTTTAAAGCATTTGTGGGGCGTTTCTGGTGTTTTGGATTGTTTTCTTTCAGATTGAGTTCTGCTTATTGTGTTTCTTTCCTTAATTCTTTTTACTGAGTTGTCATTCTGTGTTTTTTCTTCTTGGTTATACTTAAAAGTGGGTCCCTCTTTTCAGACCATCTCTTTGCTGAAATGTATGAGTAAATTCTCCTTGACCCTTTTGCTCTTGAATTATGGTTTGACAAAGAATATTGAATATACATTTTTTTCTTTTCCTGCTAGGCAAAATTTGAGAGCCAAGGTTTTACGGTTCTGTCCACTTTACTGTAATATGAAGGGAGAACATCCCTGGCGTTGGGTTCAGCTCATAATTGGCCACCTGGGTTCTAATGTTTTTTTCTGAGAGTTTGTTAAATTAGCATAACCTAGTTTTACTTACTTCAAGGCACACACTAGGAGATAAGAGTTGGAGAAAGATACCTTTAAACTTTGAATCATTTCCTTGTTCATACTGCAGCTCTGAAGTATTTCAAGCCCTGGTAGTTGTATGTTTGTTTTGTTTGCCTTTGCTAAGATCCTGACACCCTGGCAGTGGGAAATAGAAGTTTCTGGCCCACAGACTTTTCTTTTCCTTTCTCCTGGCTGACTCCTTTTCTTGTTAGTCCATGTCTCTCCATATTGAGAGCTATTAGCCAATATGTTTATGATTTTGTCTCCTTAAAAAAACCCAAATTCATTGCCATTGAGTCATTTCTTACTCACAGCGACCCCCATTGGGTGTCTAGGCTGTAAATCTTTATGGAAGTATATCACCTCATCTTCCTTCCTCAGAGCACAGCTGGTGGGTTTGAACCACTGACCTTCCAGTTAGCAGTGAAGTAAGTGCCTTATCCACTATGCCACCTTACCTAGTTCATTTTGGCTGGGGGATTGGGTTAGGCTCCTCGCTCAGCTGAGATGTAAGTACAGAGCTTTTAGTTCCTTTTCAAAGGTTATGGCATACCCCTCTTCTTTTGTGGGGTACTGGTGGTGGTTTATTTACCCTTTTTAAAAATATAATTTTTAGCTCAAGTCTTAGAAGAAGAAGATTCTGTAATCTGTTTCATGATACCATCACCTTTTCTAAGAAGTACTACCTTGGTATATAGCAATCTTATATTTTCTAAGGGGTGTGTGTGTATGTTATTAATAATGTAAGCCCAGAATAGCAGGAATATAATGTTAATATTTCTTATTTGTGTATGGACATAGAATTTGCAAAATTCTTACTTTATTATTATTAAATTTTTATTTTTATTTATTGTGGTAAAAGGTATATAACATAAAAATTTACCATTTTAAAGTTTATAGTTCTGTGGCATTAATTACATTTGCAATGTTGTTTACTATTGTTGGTTACCATCACCACTACCTACTTCTAAGACTTTTCATCACCCCAAACAGAAACTCTATACCTATTAATAACTCTCCGTTTCCTCCTTGCCCCAGCCTCTGGTAACTTCTAATCTTCTTTCTCTCTCTGGGAATTTGCCTATTCTAAATATTTCACGTGAGTGGAATCATACAGTATTGGTCCTTTTATGTCTGGTAGCATAGTGTCTAAGGCATTTGACTGCTAACCAGAAGGCTAGTGGTTCAAACTCACTAGCCACTCCATGGAAGGAAGGTTGGGCAATCTACTTCCACAGTGATACCGCCTCGGAAACCCAAGGAGGGGCCGCTATGAATCGGGTCTGACTCGACGGCACAACAACAACAACAATTTTGTTTAGCCTACTCTCTTCAAGGTTCATCCATGTTGTAGCATATATCAGAACTTCACTCCTTTGTATGGCTGAACAATATTCCATTGTGTGTCTATACCACATCTTATTTATCTATTCATCTGTTGATAGATGCTTGGGTTGTTTTAACCTTTTGGCTATTGTGACTAATTCTTCATTGAGCAAAGGAATACGAGTATCTGAGTTTTTGTTTTCAGTTCTCTTGGGCATATACCTAGGAATGGAATTGCTGGATCATGTGATAATTCCATGTTCAAATTTTTCAGGAATCATCAAACTGTTTTCCATAGTGGCTGCACCATTTTTCTTTACTAGTTCTAGATTCTAGTTTCTTCACATCCTCACCAACATTGGTTAGTTTCTGCTTTTTCAATCATAGCCATCCTAGAGTGTGTAAAGTTGTATCTAATTATGGTGTTAACTTACATTTCCCTAATGATTAATAGCATTGAGCATCTTTTGGTGGGTTTATTGGCCATTTGTATATCTTTGGAGAAATATTGCTATAAACCTTTGTTTTCCAGTTCTGACAGAGTTGATGTAGTTTCTGCTTGTTTTTCAATGTTTCTATAGAGGGCCAGGGGCTTAGAGCACCCTCCTCTACCATTTGGCTGACTAGGGAGCTCTCGTTTTTATTTTATTTAATCCTTATAATTGTCTTATAAGGTAGGAAGGGCAGAAAATTTTACTAATGAGGAAACTGAGATCCAAAAGGATTGAGTTGCTAAGTTACAGAGATAATTTTAAGAAATAGTCAAGACTGTGAAGTCAAATCTCCATCGCCAGGCACAGAAATCTTACTATTCCTTTAATGTTCCTAACAACCTTGTTATGTCACTGATTAAACTGAACTAAAACCAAGAGTAGGTGGGGGAGTTAGGGCTATAACCTTATGTGACTGTTGTACTCTGATCCTGAATTAATTCATCGTGTCTTGGTTATAATAAAGCTAACTGAGATATTTTTAGCATTTTCCTTTCTCTGATATAGGAAACTGCCCAGCTTCCTCAGTAAAACTTAACCTGGATCTTCTAAGGCTGGCAGTGGAGACAAGATTTTCCACACAGGGAATTTGACCTTGCCGCCTTATTTTTAATTCTATAATTCATTTCCTCTTCATGTCTTTTGTTTCTTACCCCTGTCTCAATCAAGGGACTTACATTCCTCATTTACCAATTTATTCTAAGAATATATCCTTGACTTTTCTATAAATTCCTTGTATGCAGCCAAGATGAAACTGGAACATGCGAAGAAGGCTTCAATGAAGGAACTGGATTAACTGCTAACATACAATTAAATGTTCTTGTTTAAAAGTTATGGCTCCTCTAGGCATCAGAAACTGTTGACCTGCTCTATCTTCCCATCTATTATTACCAAAGAACATACACATGATTGTCTGTCCTTGAAAGTGATATCCAAGAAATCAAGTTTTACAGAGATTGGACTTCTCTCTATTGTCTTTCTAAGAACTACCTTCTAAGTTCCACTTCCCTCTCTAAGCCTATTCTTATGTAATGATTAACAGCAGTTACAGTGACCATCAGGAGAAGTTCTTCCTCTATCCACCAAACCAAACCAAACCCACTGCCATCAAGTTTATTCCAATTCTTAGTGACCCTATAGGATAGAGTAGAAGCATCCTATAGGGTTTCCAAGACTGTAAGTCTTTATGGAAGCAGACTGCCTCATCTTTCTCCCACAAAGCAACTGATGAGCTTGAACTGCTGACCTTTTAATTAGCAGTTGAATGGGGCTGTGGTTTTACTGTGGCTTCAATAGGACAACCATATCAGGTCGTAATATTCATGCAAGTAATTACTTATCCATGTGTGTATCTATCTAGTGGCATGGGGTAATATTAGAATAGAATATGAAAATGATGTTGAAGGTAGCTGTGGTAGTTATGTTTGTGTGTCAGCTTGGCTGGGTCTGGTTAAGTGGCTGGGCAGCTGGTGGTAGTTATTCCAAAGATGAGACTGGCAGTCAACTCCATGGTGGAATCTACCACAAGCAGCTGAGTAGCTGCCTTTGGGATGTGGTCTGCTTCCTGTATATAAGGAGAAGACTTGGGAATGGTTTCTAGCATATGGCATGCTTGGACCCTCCATGTAGCCATGTCGTTGTTCAGCAGCCTGCCATGCTCTGCTGACTTTGGGACTTAAAATGGACTTAAATTAATGGCCTGCCATGTGATTTGGTAACATTGGGACTGTACCTTTTTACTTGTCAACCTTGGGCTTCCCAGTCTCAGCATCCAGCAGCTGTCTGAGTGAAGAAACGCCTCTAGCTCCAGTGGGTTGGGAGCAGGAGGCAGAGTTGGACCTCAAGTCTGAGGGGCTTTCACCCAGCCTCTAGAGCCTGGCACTTTGAACTTGGACTAAAAGCCTCCAAATTGTAAGAATAAACTCCTGTTTGTTAAGGCCATCCCATTTGTGGTATTTTCTTGTCAGAGCGGCACTAGGTAACCCGAACAGTAGCAGTGTTGTTTATTTCTGTGAAATAAACTATGAAAAAGTCCATAAATCATATGCTAGTAGTTTAAGCTGACTTTTCCCCTCACTCCCCATTCTTCTAGGTATCATGAACTGATCACAAAATATGGAAAGTTGGAGCCTTTGGCAGAAGTGGACCTGAGACCTCAGAGCAGTGCAAAAGTAGAAGTCCACTTTAATGATCAGGTGGAAGAAATGAGCATTCGTCTGGACCAAACAGTTGCAGAACTAAAGAAACAATTAAAAACTCTAGTGCAATTGCCCACGAGCAACATGCTTCTCTACTATTTTGATCATGAAGCGCCCTTTGGCCCAGAAGAAATGAAGTACAGCTCTCGGGCATTGCATTCCTTTGGCATTAGGGATGGAGATAAAATTTATGTGGAATCTAAAACAAAATAACCTCTACCAGCCTTGTGAAAACACACAGGACTTCTTACAGGGCATGTGTTTCCAATGTGGTTTTCTTTAGGAGGGAGAAGTTTGTTTTTGTTTGTTTTGTTTAGGTTTCAGGGGGCATGTTTTGTATATTTTTCCCCTAGGATGGGTAGGGGGCTGCTTTTGGTATTTTCTAGTACAGATTTCTTTGGCTGAGCCAGCAGAATTGGCCAGATCTCCAGTCCACGTGCCCTCCCAAGGAAAGAAATGACTAAGAAGTCACCGACTTCTTCCTGTGTTCACTGGGATTTGTCTGACACTTGGTTATCATTACCAGTTAGGTATACTTGTGAAAATAGCATGAACAGTATATCCCATCAGAAGGTATTTTGTAGTATTTAAATCAGGAAATGAGGAAGCTCTACAGGAAGGACCAGCACTTCTTTCTCCCTGTTCCTCGTTTTTCCCTCTCTCTCCTTTTTCCTTTTGGTTCAGTTTTTTGGCTTGTGTCAACATATGTTTACCTAATAGTTTTAGTCTGTCTATAATTAGTTTATTCCCCAACTTGGGTAATTTTGAAACAATTTAAAGTGTTCTAAGCATTTTTCAACCTGATTCTGATCTCAGGTACTCAGTAAGAACCTATATAGCTGTTAGAATCCTAGAAGAATACATGAAGAGTTGAAACTCCAGGAAAACTCACTGTCATTCTGAACGCACAGGTGGAGCCATCTTATTTCTTCATATGTTACAATCTCAATTTTAATGCTTCTCACATATTATTATTATATTATACCAACCATTGCTTCAGTAACATGTACTATTTCAGACTCCAGAGTTCCTTTTTTGTTTGTTTTAATGAATGTATTTCCCTAGCTGTTTCATTTTATATTACTTTAAACTATTGCAAATAGATGTCTGACTTTATGAAGAATCCAATAGAGTAATGGATATCTGTGGCAGGAGGGCTGGGATTAGCTAATACACCATCTGGGGCGTGTGTGAGGGAGTGAAGTGGGGGAGATGGGGAAAGAGTGCGCCGGCTCTCCTGCCAGTGTCATCCACTTGAAGCCCCACTCTTGCACTTTTCATTAAAAGTGGGAAACTCTAATCAAGGGAACTTTGATTCCCAGCTCTTTCCTGGGATTTTGTGATGTCCTAATTGAGTAATTCTTTTTGTTTTACGTTGCAATTTGCCACAATAGAAGAACATTTCTGCCTAATTTATGAGTAAAGTATAAGTGTCAAAACTTCAAAATTGCCTCCAAGTCATATTTTTTTGTAAAAGCATATTTAAAGCACTTTTTCTTTAAAAGCTGGTTCTTCACCTGCTCTGAAATCTTTTTTGTTCTTCTATTATCTTGTTAATTGGATGCAATCCCTATTTTTAATATATATCTTTCTTGATCCACCGTATTGATAGGTGGAAGACTTGAGAAATAATGTAACTGGGGCAGAAGTTGGGCACATGAAGTATTTTTCAAAGAATGTAATCATTAGCTGATTGCATTTGACATTTTGACCTTTGTTACATGATTCCACCCCCCACACGTACAAATTCTTTAATTTCTTATAAATTCTTCACAAATGGGGAGTTTGGTTTATTATTGCTACTTTTTTATATTTTCCTATGCCATAATGGCAAATGTTTATTCTCTTAATGCACTTCAGGTTCATTATCTGTAAAGCCTTTGACTCAGGCTTACTGAGTCAAATCTACATTCACTGTAACATTAAAGGTGGAAACCAAAGGGTTTGAGAAAGATGAATGAAGCCTATTCTCCTTCTGCTGCCGACTTTATCTTTCAGAATCACGAAAATGAGCAATGGAGAACCAGGCTGGGCATAGACAAAAATAATTATTTTGCAATCACATTTTCCTGACAGATTTTTGGAAATGGAAGACAAGTATGGTAGAAACAGTGTCATGAAGATTAAAACTGTGGGTGCTTTTGTGTATGTGTGTGCATGAGTGCAGACAAGTTTGAGAGAGAAACAGTGTAATTGAGCCCTTTGCTGTTGCCAGCCTGGGAAACAGATGCACTCTTATTTTTTGTGGTTGTATGACCCCTGACTACTTCACAACAGAAGGCAGAACAAACACTTATGTTATGCTGTAATCATAAGTGAAATGGTCATAATTAATAAGATATTTTATATATGACAAAGTTTTATGAAATGCTTTTTTACTATTGGAGACATGTTTCTTCTGTTACTACAGAACACAATTGTTCGTCAACTGCAGGCATACTTCTTTTATTATACAGTTGCATGTAAGGGGAACTTCTGATTTAATTCAGTGGACATGAGTATTTTCAGAACATTGTAACTGATGGTTTTAAAATTCCTGAATAATGTTTGATTAAGAAAAATCTAATACAATTACAGGTCTCTTAGAGTTTCAGAACAGCAGTGAATGAGGAAAGCTATTTGAGCATGTGTGCTTGTATATTTAAATGGGTGGCTGAGTGAAGATGCTGCTTTTGAAGTAAAATTGGTTCTGTGTAGACACTTGTAACAAAAATTATTTTTATAACAGGCTAAAAAGGAGGAGAGAAGACAGTATGGACCTTTGAGTCTACAAGTTATTTATAACTGATTGGCTACAGCTTAGCTGTATCTTAATATTGACTTTGTCAGTGAGATTCAGTGAGAGCATATTATTGACATTTATGAGGCAAATGCTGTCATAGCCAGTATTACAGATATGTTTGCTATAGGCTCAGTGTGTAAAACATATCTTTTCTAAGATAGGCATTCTTTTCAGTTATGAAGAGGAAAAAGAGTAGTAAAAGAAAGCCAAATCAAAAGCGAGGGATTGTTTTTCTACATGTGGGAGGCTGAAGTCACAGTAAAAATCAAGTTTTGAATTTGAATTGTTGAAATATCCCAAAAACAAAAGGGTCATATGTAGGTTTTTTTCATTATTAAAAACTTCTGTTGTTTCTGCAACTTATTGCCACTATGGCCATAAACTCATAATAAAGCAGCAGATATAATAACCTTTTTTTTTTTTTTTTTTTTTTGAGACCTTTTGGTGAAAATTAAGCCCCACATAAAATTTAAGCTACGTGTAAAAGGGCTGAATGTTATGATGCTGTGTTTTAAAGTACTGTTTATTTTTAAAAAGTGAAAGTTCCTTTCTAAGTAGGTGTTTCAGGTATGTTGCTGAAAAGCAGTGTTATGAACAGAGAACACTTGTTGCACAGATTGCTTGCTGGTCATTACCTGAGGCACACTGCCAATAGCTTTTTCCAGTATGCATGTGAGTTGCGGCTTGCTACATGGGAAGTGCTAGGCTCCAGGGTGTGTAAAACATGAATGCAGATAACTAGATTGTTCTAAGCAATATCATTTTTGTTTATGAGTTGGATTTTTCCCTTCATTTCATGTTAGATTGAAAATGCAAACATACTGCTTTCAAGAACACCCAGAAGCTCTCTGTTACCAGATTTGTTTTGAACATTCGACTGTATTCCATAGGTGCTTCTTTAAAATATATGTCCATTGTAGTGATGGAGAGGGACTGGACTCTCTCAGGCTCTTTACTTGCCAGTTGTCTCCTGCAGTTAATGGAAATATATATACAT